AACCTCTTCCCTCTCCCGCACTGAGCCCAGGAGTTTCGTTAACTCCGAAACCAATGCTAAACCTTCATCCTTAAAAATCGATGGGGACAGCCTGTCGGAGCCGGAAGCCTTATGCCTTTTCAGATAACTTATTTCAAAGATTGAGTGAATTTGATACTGGTCTACGCCACCTTCGTGTCGTTGTTCATGTGGCTGACAGTTAACTCACAACTGTTACCTGTGGAAAAGCTCGGATGTTGACTGTGGTTTTCACGCCAACAATCAGATTTCATGATTTACTAACTGTACAGATGTGTAATTTCCTTTCCTGTAAATATTTGTTTGTAAGGAATTTAGTAAGAATGGGAGAAGTTAATAGTTGGGTACATGTTTGGGTGAGTTCACGAGAATTGCGGAAATCTCATTCTCTCTCTCGGACTCCATAGTTTATTTTGCTTCCTACATCAACTAGTTTTGAAAAGATCAGGAGTCATAGCAGGAATAGAATTTATTCACGGACGGTGCGCATACTTTATACGGTGACAAGCAGATACCATAAAGCTATATGCGTATTCTGCCAATCAATAAATTTATTTTAGCTCAAGAAGACAATTTGCCGAATCAATCTCGGCAATGTGTCATTATTAGTTACTAGTACTATACCACATTCATGATCGGTACTCCCTATTTTGGGTCGGAAAATGTGTGAGCACCTGTTGCTGTGGTCAGGTATCATCTCTTGGTCACAACTAAAGCGATCGAAGTTCGCCTGCATTATCTACCCTCTCAATGAACCCCAAACGGTACGTGAGAACAATCCATCTTTCTAAGTCATCAAGTCATTTGATACACCCTCCCACAAGACCCGAATATTACAAATAAATAAATTGTGAGAAACACTCGGTTAGGGAACTGGTTTGATATTTTCCAGTCTGAAATCGATCGTTATCCTACAGAACACAGTCGTATTCATTCTGATATATCAGCTAACGGACATGTTAGTATTATTATTTATAAAATTTTATCATGATTAAGCCCAGTGATCGACAAATATTAAGAGAAAAAATGAAGCACAGTCATATGTTTGATGTTTCAACTTTGTTGCGATTATTATAAATGAAATCGTGGATGACCAAGGCTAAAACGACATGCGACGTGCATGAACAACTCGGGGGCCGGGGCCGGAGGGGGAAGCGGGGAGGGATGGAGGGTGGAAGGGAGGGATGAGCTGGATAATTTGATAGAAAAAATCACTTCAACGAGTTCATTTAACATCATCATCATCATACTTACACCTAGAAATTGACCGGTGATTGTAGTGATAAAATTTTGCAACGTATAGCCCAAATCCGTATTGGGCAAATCCACCTGGTCCAAGAGTAAATAAGCCACTTTGAGTAGTGGCATCTGTAGACATGTGGGCCCCGTAGTCAGAAGCTACATACAATCGGGAATGGAAAAACACGTACGAGGCAGAATGTAAAATATGGGCACACTTTTGGGGTCACGGTCAATATGTGAACGAATACAAAACTACGCCATGAAGCTTTAACCGAAATCCGCAGTCTTGTAGCCTCGATCCGCAATTTTTTAACCTAGACGAACAAACCTTAGTTATATCGCTGTAGGTGAGCCAGATCAAAAATGTCCGAAAATTTTGAGGTCAACGAATGTTGAAATATTTTATTTTCTACAAATGTTGATGTTGCTAAGCTTGATTAATAAATGAGAAGGTACGGCGGTCGCATGCCGCACCATATGTTGATTAGAGAGGATTTAAACGATGTTCCCGTATCGTCAAACCATTTGACACATCTATACCATTTTAAGATAGCACACCTTCAGTGTTTCCGTTTAACATGCGGTACTCCTGTGAGTAAAACTCTCAAATGTAACCAACGGGCCAACAAGCCCTGATATGAATCGACAATTATACAATAAAAAAGAACGCTTCGGTGTCGCGTCTCCGCTTAAAGCGGACTCCGTTTTTTGAGAGGTGGACACATTAACAGTCACAGGATAAACACCGTTCACAAAAGCTCTAGACAAAAACCGTAATTCTTGAGCCTCGACCGCCACAACTTTGTCAAATGATACAGCATCGGTGTTTGTTATCCTCGGCCTTTTAATGTATCCATGGAGTTCACTATAAGTGGAGATACGGAACGGTAAGCATTCACTTTTTTGTGGTATGATTTTTTGATTTATTTCAGGACTTGTGAATGCAAAACAATGTACCGTCTGTGTTACATTTGAGAGTTTTACTCACAGGAGTATCGCATTTTATAGTTCCCTTGTAGTACCACCATGGGACATTGCATTAATCGGTAATGGGGTCATTCAAACATACCATGATAGGCGGTGGCAATATTTATCAAGTCAAGTCAAGTCATCCTAATGGACGGATTGTCAGTCGTACCTTACCTCCCGTTAAACACATCTAGTATAGAGAACGGTAAAATCGGATGGACGAAAAAGCCCTGTCTGATGTTCAGGTGTTCGCCGAGCTTGGCAACTGTATTGCCCTGTCTTTTCACTAGTGAGGAAGACCGACGGAGAGTAATTGAATGTGCACAAAGATGTGATGACTTGAAAGAAGTGACCAAACACTTCAGCATTAAGATCAAAATATGTTGTGGTATTGCAGCCACAAATCGGGAAATAAACCTCAAATCTGGATCTTACAAGATGAAATTCAACGATGAGTTCACAAAACATGTGTAATTTTGTCGATCAGAATCCTGCAACCACATTGAGGCAGTTAAAGGAAAGAATGGAGGATTTCTCGGGCACATCGATCAACAAAATTTCTATTGGTTGCTGCAGGACGGAAAGTACTATATCGGTTAAGAAGCTGACCATCCAGCTCGAGGAACGGAACTCGGAAACCGTCAAAGTAAAACGAGAGGAATATACCGAATATACCGATCGGGGAACGCAGCACTTAGGCTGTATATTGACGAAACCAACTACAACTCCAAGAAGGGCGGTAAAGCCATTCGAAGCCTCCCATCCCACAAAGGACCCAACGTTCATCTGTCGCAAGTTTCTTGAAATATGAATGTCACACAAAGATCACTTGGCATACTTTCAATGGGTTTCTATCAAGCTGTTCCACCTTAATCGAGCAACCGAGTGCTGTATTTGTTTTTTATCTTTGACAATACGGCCGTTCATTAGAGAGCGCAATTACATGCCAAACCCAAAATTCGATTTCTTCCACCATACAATCCCTGTTTTAACCCGCTGGAAGAGGCCTGCAGTAAATTCAAACAGGTAAGCGTTTTTAATTCTTTCATTCGCTCGTTATTTAGCACATTATAAAGTGGTTCATTCACAATACTGAAATCACACGAGATGTACCAAATGGTTTGGCTATAAGAGTACATTGTTTAAACCTTCTCTAATCAATACGTGGGTGGTGCGGCATTTGTTATTACTAAGGCGTCAAATATGCAGTATACGATTGCCGCAACCCATTTCTTCATCAAGCTTTGTAACACCAACAATTGTAGAAAATAAAATGTTTCAACACTGGTTGACTTCCGAACTTTCCGATAATTTTTGGTCCCAAGTGGATAATGGAGGATTTGATTCAACTTCAAAAGTGTATTTGTCGTGTATATCACAAATGAAGCGTGAACTTTTTGGTCTGACTCGCCTACAGCAGTATGACTAAAGTTTGCGCGTTGCGGCTAAATAATTGAGGGTTTTGGCCTAAGGATTACAGGTCGAGGTTAAAGGACTGCAAGTTTTGGCTAAGGCTTGGTGGGAAAAGATGTAGCAGGTTTTAAAATTAGCTCAAAAAGGAATGATTCATTAAAAACAGCGACAAATTGGTATCCAGAGGGTTACTCGCAGATTAGATGTACAAAAAGAATAGCCATTTATTCGAACCCGAACACCATCGTCTGACTTTTCCATTCCACAGTACCTTACAGCAGCTTTTTGATTAGTCCCTTAACCTTTTGAACTACGGTGACGCAGGTACGGTGGAAAGTGATATCTGGAGACGAAACACCCGGTCAATGTTGATCAAGCGTCCTACAGCACTTATCAAGTAAGCTCAGCGATGTCAAAATGATTTCCCCACTGCCCCATTTTATCCACCCGCTCTGATTAAACTTGACAGACATTGTTGTATTTTCTTACTTAACCTCAATGGTCCAATCACATGTATTTCTACATTAGATATAAATACACACACACAACTGTAAATGCTTGAAGACGAAGTGAAGAGAACAAGCTTGTTCGCTATATTGTTTGGCTTTTGCTTTCGACTTTCTCAATCAGTGCACGATTACAAAACAAAAATCAAAACATTCTCTCCTATGCAATTAGAAGCAATTAGTTCTGATTTTAGTTCTAACAAGGCCGTGGTAGATCAGGGTACCACTAGAAGGAAATCCCCCGAGGGGCTGCGACAGAGACTCAGAAGAGATGGTGACCTGATTTTAACACACACAAAACATACCCTCTGCACACAGTTTTGATACCAGCTAAGACAGTTCGCACATTACAAGCAACCCTTATTTAATTGTACAGAGCAGTTGACGCAATATGAAAAAAGAAACATTTGGTTTGGTCTACTGTGTAGGTCAACTAGTAAAATGGTCACAGTAGCAGATCGAAAAGCACAATCAAGCACAGGAGCTGGTGCGAAAGATGGGACAATATTGCTGCATGTGTGCCAACCGCATCGACAGTCGCATAGAGTTAGGAGTGATGCTGGCGGAATAAGAAATATGCAGAAAATCTTTTGGATAGAACCTGAATGCTTATTGATCAAGTGCAATCAGAAAAGGATGATGATAATAAAAATGATAAATAATACGACAATACGATTGGTCTAAATAGATGGGAGCTCAAGCTTAGATAAATCCGTGAAAAACGACAAGGTGAGTGTCGAAACTACCATCGCATTTCTAAATTATCCAGACTGCCGTACTGTGATTTGTCTGGCACAGTGTGAACTCAAACATATAACGGCATACCGAGGATTACTGAAATCAGTGAACTACTGACGATCGGCAAGAAAAATTGTATATCTCATGGAGAACGGTGATTACTAGGTCAGATAGATGAATCACAAAATCAAAAGCTTCCAGGATGACTTACATTGTAGGAAACGTCGAAATGACATATGAAACATTCGAGTTGTTCACTTTTGACTACCACCAAATTCGTGCATTTGACACTATGACGAAATCTATGTACAACAATGGCATACCTCGAAAACCACTTAGTATGGGAGTAAAACTAGGTACGGTAACCGCGTTTGGTAAATATCGATAGCAGTGTATAAGTTCATTGAAGATGGTAAACATGATAGCTGAGGTGAAAGAAAATAGGATTTTCAACTATCTTGGGAGTAATGACGAGGTTACCATGACCACAAAATCCTGTAACCTTAGAGGGTTTTGCAACGACTAGCAGAGCACCAACAACGAAACAACCTACATTCCTCACATCGTACTGTATTGAAATTTCAGCGAGTTATATATACAAGCTTTCAACCAAAAAGTGACCACAGTCACAATACTAGCGAAACAGAAGGAAAACGTGGGACATCAAACGTGCATTATCTAATGAAAAACTGTGAAGTTCCATACGGAATACCCAAAAAGTTCACATTTTTCACGGAACCAGGCATAGGTAAAGTAATCTTATATGAACCGGCTCGGAAAGCGAAGCGCGCCAGTAATTCACGCCAAATTCAATCAGGTATACGGAACAAGCATAAAACATTCAGACTGACCGTGGTAAGATGATGCAACAATTGGGAGGTATATTGTGCATAACCCTCAAGTAGATAACAGACCACACATTTGGCCCATTGATCGACATCTTTGGAAAAGGCTCCGTTGGCATAGAGTCGAAGAATCAATGCCAGATTGTATAGCCGATTAGAATCCAACTGTAAAGCGGCTTGGGCCAGGGCGTCAGCAGCCTGTTATGAAATCGAAAGAAGGTGAACAAAAAGGATCTCCACACAGCAAATGAAGTGAGTGAGCTTTCGAAATAAATCACTCGAACGCCATTGAGTGCACAAACGTACATGTATTACCCATATGGGGTCAGTAAATGCCCTCGAAAAACATCGCCATTAACACTTTCTACCTTGTAAAGGTCTTACAGGTATTTTTATCATACATGCTTTTCGACGTATGCTTCGAATAAATAAAATAGCCCAATCAATGATGCATTAAATGAAAATATTAATAATAACACCCGCAATACTTTTATTTCCTGCTATTGAATATATAGATATGATTTTACAAAAATGTTAAGGAGGGTGGTAAGAGAAAATACGGACTGGAACGGCGATAGCGAGATGCGAATTCTCGAGCTCCGGGTCGGTATGAAGGTCACCGAAACCACTTGATGAACCTACGTTCGATCTACGTTCTGCGAGAAACACGTGACGACTTACATCACGGAAGAACACAGCATTTGATGTTTTTATTGGATAACAACTATAAGTGGTCACTCCTTCAAACACCACTCGGGGGTGACGATCAAATTTCATTTGACAGCTAATCCTTTAAATTCAGTCTCAGAGTAGCCCAAAGGTTTTAGATGAACCACCAGTTACATTCAATAGGCACATGGCACGACAGAGAAGTCAGTAGAACGGACAAACATTTGTTACAAAAAACAAGCCAAATCGATTCCCTGATCGTAGAGGGCTCGGGATGGCAAACCCAGTATACAATGGTCCTCAAACGGTCAGCAGGGGAATCCGCATGCTATTTGAAATCGCCACTGTTCAGACGACCAGAGGTATGAACATTGAGCACGAAAACAAAAATGAATAAAACTGAGCGGTGATGGAGACAAATTCAACTTTTTTTTTAGTTTCTTACACACACGCACTATATTTGTGCGTTGTTGACGAGAGCAAACACAGACAGTGAATTGTGTGAAACCTGTTCGAACGGTTCAGTTGGAGTCATTTTGGGACGGTTGATGCATGGGGCGGGAGTGTAATTCTTGCACTTTTTCATTCCACCCCAACCCCAAGCTGATCAATAGGAACCTAAACCTCTGGGATCTGAACAATGTTTAGACAAAGGACTAGTCGGGTAGTATTTATTTCATTAACAACCATCCATCCATCACTCTTTCTTGGCACAAGCTTCAAAATGAAAATGCAAAGTAGGGTGTTGGTACAGAAACACAAAAACTGTATTCACCGCAGTGTGGTGGGTAGGGATGACCGATGATGCCAATTGTCATTTCACAATTTGTTTTACAACTTTCATCCGAAATAATAGATCACAGAGCTCGAGATATCTGCGACAACTGTTAAGACCGCGATGAAGTTTTGTACTTACAGACCACGAATTTACAAAATGTTGTAAATTGGTTCTCGTAACTCGGGTGAACTGAATTCTATTTCGCCTGTTCGCTCGGCAAACAGACCACAAATTTCCAGCTAAGAGTAACCTAGTCCATCCCATGTAAAAACGGTCTGATCAGCTGCTCGGTGACGTAGTGGGTAGCACGCTTGCGTTCTGCCTATGAAGTCCCGGGTTCGATCCCCGGTCGGGTTGATGGATTGGCACTGCTGATGGGACCCAACCAGGTCGAAACAGCTGTCCAGTGCTTCCGAGCTTTTCAGTTCACGCTTCATTTGCTATATACACGACGAATTCCTATTTGAAAAAATAATATATATATATATATGTGTGTGTGTGTGTATGTGTATGTGCGTGCAAACAACTGAAGTTCAAAGAAAGCGTGCTACTGAAATACAAAAAAAGAAATTGATAAAATTGTTTCAGACGCATGGAAAAATGTCCCCATCCTCACTGCTAAGTGATCCACTCATACAATTTGGTTTAAAGGTCAGGAAGTAATTTCACTCACTACAATCACAAACAAACCAACATCACCAGTACCGGTCCTCTGTCTTACAGTTGCTTGAAACTTCAGATTAACTGATTTGAGAGGGGCCTCGCAACTGGCTCTAAATGCTGTTACTAATAGTGTTTTTGTTGGTTGCGACTTAACAAGCTCATTTCGCGAATCATCGCGAGCAGGAAGGTCAATTTTTTCAGCGAGATCCTACTCATCTATGGATCTTGTGCATCCGGACGTCATTCAAATACTTACTTGTATGCAAATCGGATTTCGTGGTCGCAGAGGAGTGGGCAACATGCTACGTGGAAAGTTAGTGGTCCCTCCCAAATTGGTCAAGTTCAATCCGGACCCTGTCGGACCAAATGCACCGATCATCCCGGTTCCAATACTATCCGCACGACCGAGCCGTAGCGCTTGAGCCTGTGGGGCGCATGTTGACGATGTGCCGGTGCTCACAGAGGCGCTTCGGGGAGGTATAGCTACCATGGCCCAGGAACCCAAGGCCCTTGGTACGGTGTTTGTGTTGCTGAAGCCACAAACATCTCGACCGAGAAAACCACCTTGAAGTACACTGGGTTGTTGTTGTGAATCCCCACAGGTGGGTTCTGGGAAATTGGGACTAAGTGTTGCGGGATCCTCATCCCACGCGGTCAAGAGCATGGGCATCAGGGTGAGCAGTGTGATGGGATAGCTGAGTTGGGACAGTTGTTGATTGTGTCTGCCAGAAGGCACGACCAATGGGGAGCTGAGGAACGGAATGAGGCTGACCAGGAGTCGACAAGCCGGGTCGACCAGCGTGGCAGAAGAACAGCCCTGCATAAAATGGGAAGAGACGACAAACAGCGTAGAAGGAGCAGACAATTATCCCTGAGGAACGGGTGGGCATTACCAATCACAAAGCAAGTAATCAGTTGCAAACTTTGCTTTATGCATGTGCATGAAGTCCCACAAACTGCTATCTTATGCAGGAGTATTCAACATGTTTGAAATTGTCAAATGATGGCAAGGAAGGCCTGGAATGCACGTGTTGCTTCAGGAATGGAGAGTAAATCGTGATTATCAGACCAAAAACAAGGGGAAAGGGAAATTCCCGATTAAATTATTAGATTATTCACAAAGTAAATACAAAGAGTATAAATGGAAAGGAAGTCGGCCTGCTTGAAAGCAGACAAAAGTTAGTGAACCCATGGGCTCAACACAGTATCCACAATTCTGTTACCTCATTTGTTACGGGCAAGTAGTTCAATAGACTATTATAAGAAAAACTCAAACCACTTTCCGTGCAGCAGACTTGATTTCTACCACTGTGAAGCTGCCAAAAAAACAAAATATGGTGCAGCAAACGAATGGCAAACTTAGTTTCACATCTACTAACTAGCGCAACTCCCTCCCTGAAGTAAATTTGTCCTACTATTGAATGTTCCACCCGAAAATTCTTAACAGGAAACTGGATTGTCATGCGCCATCCCATCTGCGCCGAACTGTAAAAACAAAAACAGAAATCACTCATCCAACCGAGCGCAAACTTAAGATCTAACAACAGTGAAGTAGAATTGGTATTTCCATAGTTCGAATGTTCAATTTTATGCGGTTCATTGTGTTACGGTCTTTGGGCCACAATTTTCTCAGCACGAGAAACTTTGAGCAAGTTTATTCCTGATCAATAGGCTGGGGATGATGACAACCAATCCAGCAGTAGCTTATTGCATCTCGGAAGTGTGAACTATATGACAGAAGGACCAGCGAGCCTTATCTTCTTGTAAAATGAGCTTTGCGCATGCCTAATACACATCAACAAAAACAAACAACATCCAACTACCCTAAGCCTCAGATAAGCTCTTTCTATGTGCAACATGAGGAGAGTTAATAACAATACCATAAGAATTCAATGTCATTTATACATTCTGACAATCTGTCTCCCCAACAGTATTGAATAAACCGCTTATTTTACCATGAATCTTCACGAGAGATATGTGCCCATGATAAGCGTAAAAAGTTAACACGCATATCTGGGCAATAGCGCAAAGAGGAAACGAGACAGATCAGACAGATCAAGATGCAGAATCAGCTGAG